AGGCGTTTATTGAGTATCACAACGTTAAGTAGGGAGATTTAATGGTCGACCAGTATACCGAGGAGTTTGATCGATTGCGGATGCGTTGTGATGTGACTGAGGAAGACGAGCAAACAATTGCTCGATATTTGGCGGGGCTGCAGTATGAAATTTCTGATGTTGTCCAATTACAGTAATATTGGACCTATGAGGATGTGTGCAGGCTGGTCTTGAAGGTGGAAGGTCAGTGTAAAAGGAAGGACGTGAGTTCCAAATTTCAGAATCGATGGTCAGGCAAAGAATCCCGAGGAAAAGCGGGAACATCTGCAACCAATTCGACATCAGCCGCAATTAAGGTTGCGAGTTCTAAACCTGCATCCAAGAAGGGGCAGAGTAGTGTTGGAACTAGCAGGGGAGGAGCTGTAGCCAAGCGATATTTCAAGTGTCAAGGACTCGGGCATTTTGCTGCTGATTGTCCTAACCGACAAATTGTGACGCTTGTTGATAATCCAGTCTTTGATGAAGGTTAAATCTATGATGAATCTGAAGGCGAACAAGAGGATGCAGAGGCGGAACAAGAAGGGATTGTCTATGCTGATTCTGGTGAGTCCTTAGTTGTTAGAAGAATCTTAAATGTTGCTGTGGCGGACGATGAATCGTGGCTTAGACATAATATTTTTCATACTAAGTACACTAGTGGAGGTAAACTATGCAGCATGATAATAGATAGGGGAAGCTGCGAGAATGTGGTGTCCACTATTATGGTGGAGAAGTTGGGGCTGAAAACAGAATATCATCCTCAATCATGCAAGCTATCGTGGCTTAGGAAAGGGAACGAGGTGAAGGTGAGCACGAGGTGTCTTATGCAATTTTCGATTGGGAAAAATTACATTGATGAAGTGTGGTGTGATGTGGTCCCAATGGATGCTTGTCATATTCTATTGGGAAGGCCGTGGCAGTTTGACAGAAAGACAGCATGATGGTTTCAGAAATACCTACACCTTCAAGAAGGATGGCCGGACTATTACCCTAGGTCCTTCAGATTTGAGAAAGGATGTGAAGAATAATCTGCTGTCCAGATCGGAATTTCAAGAAGAAACAGTGAACGCGCTTGAGCTTTTTGCCATTTTGGTGATGGAGCGGAATTCTGACAATCCCAAAATTCCTACCCATGTTCTGCCCTTGCTTGAGGAGTTTGCTGATGTCGTACCGGAAGAGATGCCACCTGGGTTGCCGCCCATGAGAGACGTTCAGCATTGTATTGGTTTCATCCCGAGAACTGTTATTCCCCATAAGGCAGCTTACAGAATGAGTCCTAAGGAACATGAGAAACTGCAGAGACAAGTGAAATAGCTGTTAGAGAAAGGCGCAATCCGAGAGAGCATGAGTCCCTGTGCAGTGTCGGCCTTGTTGGTTCCTAAGAAAGATGGGTCGTGGAGGATGTGCATAGATAGCAGAGCTGTCAACAAAATCACAATCAAGTATCGATTTCCTATCCCACGATTTGATGATTTGATTGATCAGTTACATGGGGCGACTATCTTTTCGAAGATAGACTTAAGAAGTGGTTATCATCAGATTAGGATGCGACCTGGAGATGAGTGGAAGATGGCGTTTAAGACTAGAGATGGTCTATATGAGTGGATGGTGATGCCCTTCGGGTTGTCTAACGCGCCGAGCAATTTTATGAGGCTGATGAATCAGGTTTTTCGTCCTTTTATTGGTCAATTTGTTGTCGTTTATTTTGATGATATTTTGGTTTTTAGTACTTCGATTGAGCAACACTTGCAGCACTTGAGAAAAGTATTTGAGACCTTGAGAGGGCAAAAATTGTATGCCAATACCAAGAAGTGTCACTTTTTAACTGATCATGTGACCTTTTTGGGTTATATTGTGTCGAAGGAAGGCATTCAGATGGATCCAGTTAAGGTCGAAGCCATTACGAATTGGGAGGTTTCGAAAAATATTCATGAGGTACGCAGCTTTCATGGACAAGCGTCCTTTTATAGGAGGTTTATTCGGGATTTCAGCACTATTATTGCGCCTCTTACGGATTGTCCAAAAGGAGGTAGATTTGTATGGACTAAAGAGGCAGACGCTGCGTTTCAGTTGTTGAAGGAAAAGGTGACTGAAGCCCCAGTTTTAGTGCTTCCAGATTTTGGTGAGGTTTTTGAGGTGCATTATGATGCCTCAGGCGTTGGTATTGGGGGCGTCCTGAGCCAGAAAAATAAACCTGTGGCGTTCTACAGTGAGAAGTCGAATGAAGTGAAGAGAAGATATTCGACTTATGACAAGAAGTTTTACGCCATAGTGAGGAGCTTGGAGCATTGGAGGCACTGTCTTATCTCGAAAGAATTTATTTTGTATTCTAATCATGAAGCCTTGAAGTACATTAATAAGTAGCATAAGCTGAATGCTAGGCATGCAAAGTGGGTGGAGTTTCTTCAGGTTTTCAGTTTTGCCATTAAACATACGGCAGGGGCGCTGAATAAAGTAGTAGATGCATTAAGCAGAAGATATTCTTTGCTGTCTATGATGCAGGTGAGAGTTTTGGGCTTTGATTCTTTTAAGGATTTGTATGTTGATGATCCTTTTTTTTGGGATATTTGGAGCAAGTGCAAAATAGGGCCCTTTCAACAGTTTCTAGTTGTGGAGGGTTTTCTTTTCAAAGGCAACAGGCTGTGCATCCCTCAGTGCTCTTTGAGGGAATCCATTATTACTGAGAGCCATGCAAGAGGTCTAGCTGGGCACTTTGGAGTGGATAAAATGATGGCCTTGCTATGTGAGCATTTTTATTGGCCCCGAATGAAGCGTGACGTGACTCGATTTGTAGAGAGGTGTAGAGTATGTCATGTGGCAAAAACCAGAGGTACTAATGCTAGTTTATATATGCCTCTACCTATACCCGATGCTCCCTGGGATGATGTTAGCCTTGATTTCGTCTTGGGATTGCCAAGAACACAGCGGAATAAGGACTCCATAATGGTGGTTGTCGACAGATTTTCGAAGATGGCTCACTTAATTCCCTGTAAAAAGACCTTTGATGCTTCACAGGTTGCTCGATTATTTTTGCAAGAGATTGTTAAGTTACATGGAGTCCCCAGGTCCATAACTTCAGATCGTGATGTGAAGTTTGTGAGTCACTTTTGGTGCACTCTTTGGAGGCACATGGGAACCATATTGCAGTTTAGTTCCTCTCACCACCCCCAGACTGATGGGCAGACCGAAGTTGTCAACCGAAGCTTAGGGAACTTGCTGCGAAGTTTGGTTGGAGATAGCCCGCGGCAATGGGACTTGGTGTTACCTCAGGCTGAATTTGCCTACAATAGGTCACAAAATCGAACTACAGGCAAGAGTCCTTTTGAGATAGTCTATGGAGGTAATCCAATTACTCCTTTGGATCTCACACCATTGCCAGTTCACAAGCAGTTCAGTTTAGATGCAGATGAGCATGCCAAGCAGATCAAAGAGCTACATTCATAGGTCCATAATCAGATCAACAAGCAAAACATGAAGTATAAGCAGCGAGTGGATAGGTGCAGGAAAAGAGTCGTTTTCAAAGATGGTGATCTAGTGTGGATTCACCTTAGAAAAGAGCGTTTTCCAACTAGCATGTTTGGCAAATTGCAACCTAGAGCTGAAGGACCATTCAAAGTTCTTGAGCGAATTAATGACAATGCTTATAAGATCGAGTTGCCGGGTGAGTACAATGTATCCGGGACTTTTAATGTAGCGGATTTGTCACCTTACCATGCAGATGGGGAAGAACTTGAGGAGATTGATATCAATGAAGACGAAAATGAAGCAGATTCAAGGGCGAATCTTTTTCCTAGCAGGGGAGGATGAAGCACTTAGATTGGCGAGCTTGGAATGGGCTGAAATTTGGAGTCGTTTAGATGGGTTTTCAGACTTTTGGGTTTTAGGCAATTTTCGTTATTTTAACGTTATTTTAATGGCGTTTTCGTAATTTTCGCGTTTCCTATTGTGATTAGGTTTAACACCATATAAAAGGGTGTTTAGGGTTTCGTTTTAAAGAGAATTTGGATTTTTTATAATCACACCTGAGAGAATGAATTGTTTCTCTATCAAATATTCTTGTTCAGTCAATTTTCTATCGCGATTCAGCATCAAATTCGGTCTTAAAATTTTGCCAACATAGTTCTAAATTTTTGCATGAAATTCCAACATATGTCTTTCCAGCCAATTGCAGCTAGAAATCGCTAACGTGACCCACGTCAACCCACATCAACTCGCCACATAGGATGGCTGGCGATGACTAGACACTATGTCAGCCATTTCCTGCAATAATTGGGCAAAAAGATTATCTTGAAATTTCGCTCGAAAGTTTAGGACTACGTTGGCAATATTAGATTTCTGAATCGAGCTACTAATGATATTGATTCATACTCTAATTTAGATTTGGTATTTTCCTATAAGAGTTCATAAATTTTAAATGTCGGTAAGTTAAGCAAATAAAAATTAGTATTTTAGTACAAGTATTTTCAAACTGTCAAAGAAAGTTGATAGCTTCCTAAAATGTCGGCAAATTTCTAACAATTTACCTGGAAAAAAACTTATCGATCCATTTTTCCATCAACAATTCTTGATGCTTACTATTACTTAATAAAATTTACTAGTATGGAAAAAAAATCCTTAGATTATATGTGGAACAATAGAATTCTGCTGTTACAAGAGCTATCCTTGCTATTTTCTTGAAGAAGAAAAAAAGATAAACGGCAATAAACTAAAGAGTAGAGAGAAATATGCTTCTCTAACACCTATAGTTAAAGATAGAAGAATGAGTTCTCTACTTTATTCTTCGATTTGTTGCTATTTAAATAGTTCCGGTTGCTCTCATAGAGAATGGACTTCAACGCACTCTGTAATTTGGAGCTTAAAATCTTGTTCCTTGCAAACGAGAGCTTGCATTCTTTGTCTGATACTTGGTGTTGACCTCTTGGCGCATGAATTGTACATTGATCTGTGGATTTCGAGTGTGCTCCATGATCTTTTCCCGCTCTCTATCGAGGTACCACATCAGTAAGACAGCCGCTGGTCACTGAACATTGCGGCATTATCTTGCTGCTATTGAGCTGCTTGCTGGATCGATTCGAGTTTCCATCTTGAGAATGTTGTTTGGGTTTCACATTTGGGACAGAGAATGTAGGTTGCTCAGGCACAGGGAGGCTAATGGAATCAGCACTACTAAGCATAAGAACAACCGTATCCATGGCAGGTCGGGCTTCTCTGTCGTTCTGAACGCAGAGCAAGCCAATGTGAAAACATCTGATCACTTCGTTTGCCAGGTAAGATTCACCGACCATCGGATCCACAATCTCCAATGGTGCTCCAGTTCTCCAATGTTCCCAAACCTAGAACATATGTTGGTACTGTCATTAATTTACCAAAAATGAATGAAAATGCAGGATCAAACTGTACTCACGTAGTCGAGAAGGCCGGAGTCATCATCTGATATGTGAGAATTCTGATTCATCTTGCCAGTAATGATCTCAAGCATTAACACACCGAAGCTGAACACGTCGGATTTTACTGAAAATTGTCCATACATGGCGTATTCAGGAGACATGTAGCCACTGCAAAACAGTTCAAGGAGGAAGACAAAGCCATGATTCTCATGAATGAGCATAGTTTGCTTAAACATCAAGATGTTAATGCTCAATATAATCCATGCATTAGAAAATCCAATTAAATTCCGAATCTGTTAGCATAATTATTGCAAATTATCCAATGGGTTGTTCCTACCACGAGCCGAAGTAATATGAAATTGGACTTACTAAGTTCCGACAATTCTGTTTGTTCTTCCTTGAGTCTGCTCAGCACCAAAAATCCTAGCCATACCAAAGTCTGAGATTTTCGGGTTCATATTGTCATCGAGCAGAATGTTGCTAGCTTTGAGGTCACGATGGATAATTCGGAGCCGAGAATCTTCATGAAGGTAAAGAAGACCGCGTGCCACCCCAACCATGATCTTGTGGCGTGCTGACCAATCCAACTGTATGCTTTGCTGAGGGTCTGTGTTGGCCAGAATTTGTAAATTTTAGAGTCAGAAGAGGCCCTACTGCATGTCTGAATCTAATTGACAAGTCATTGTCCGACCTAAATTTCTTTGAAACCGACATCTAATTGTATGAATAATGTCCCAAGACATAATTTTCGATGGTGACTAGAATTGGGAAGAAAGAACTAAACTGAGAGGAAAGGAATCGTTTTCAAAGAAGATGAAGAGAGAGGCGCGAACCGAAGAGCAACTGGTCGAGGCTGCCGTTGGGCACGAATTCATAGACTAGTATCGTTTCTTCTCTTTCCATGGCAAATCCTAATAGCCTCACTAGATTTCTGTGCTGCAGCTTGGCTACCAATTCGACTTCATTTTTGAATTCCTGCTCGCCTTGTTTCGAACTTTGCGACAACCTTTTTGCTGCAATTTTCCTACCACAAGGGAGTGTACCCTACAAAATACAGAATATGAACGAAAATGTCATGTTAAGGCAGAACATGCACCCAGATTGAATCTCTAGGTTATGCTTCATGTCTTATCTCTATGTTAAAAACTTCTTACCTTATAAACTGGACCGAATCCGCCTTCCCCTAATTTGTTGTGATCTGAGAAGTAAGCTGTGGCGGCTTCAATTGTGCCCACATCAAATTGTAGGGAATGCAGTTCCGAAATTTCGCTTCCAACTGTGTAGTGATAAGCCATCAACTTTGCGATACGAATAAACTGTAAATGGAAAGACTAATGCAAGCAAAGTAGATCTGTGATGTTTCTCACGGGAAAATTGCATAGGAAGTCTTAAACCTTCTGTACATAATGCAGTTAAATCTTAGACCATTCAATTTACTCAATTAATTTCTAAACCCTCTTCCAAAGTGCAATTAAGTCATTTCTATGAATAGTACCTAAAATGAGCTCTGTGTTACTCCAAAGAAGTGCTTGCGTGGCACATTAAATTGCACTTTTCCACATAACTTTAAACCTTAATTATATTTTCTAATAAATGTTAAGGACCTGATTGGAGCAAATAAAGGTTTAAGACTTGATTAAGTGAATTGAAAGGCTTCAAAATTCATTGCATTCGGTACATAAAGTTTAGGACTTGTGGTGCAATTTTCCCCATTTCTCACCATTCGGATCTTCTTCGACATCGTTTCTCTTGTTCCTTTCTCTTTTGAGGGCAAACCAGAGCGCGACGCCAAGTAGCACGACCGCCGAAGTTGCAGAAGTGATCCCAATAACTAATCTTGATGAAGAATGCCTATTCTTTTCGACTGTAATTCAATTAGTTGAATGCTTCATTAGTATAATCGCATTACGTTCAGCATCTGGCAAATATATGGCACCGACAACTAAATATTTTACGTGCCACCAAACGTGATCAAATCAGCAAATTGAAACGCGTTATAATTAGTGAAACAAAAACGTTGAGTTCATTACCTGTGTAGAAAGGGTATATTTCGAACCTGGCGAAGCAAGTTGGAAGCAAGATTCTGCCCCCGATTTTGCCGGTTTCATTTGTCAGGAGAATCGAAATCACATTCTGCAGGCAATCCTCGCAGAGAGCCGCCGAGAGATCAGGCCTGCACTGGGCAAATGTATGAAGAGCAGTGCCGCTTACTTCTTTGAAGGAGGCGTCTCTGGAAGCATACTTCTTATCGGATCTTTTAGCGGCCGGAGTAATCAAGCGGTCCATTGTTTTGTTCAATAGCTTCATGAACTCGGTGGGTTCTTCCATATTCTCCTCATTATACCCGCCCAGAAGAGGCACTTTGTCCGTGGCCGAAAAGAAGTTACGGTCTGAATACTGCAACATGCACTGGTCGAACCAGAGGATGGATTCTTTGACCATAGGACATTTCGCTTTGATACTGACACTAGCATTTCTCACGCATTCCATGCACACTTCCTTGGTGACATCTCCCCTGCATAGGAAGCTGCCATACACAGCGTTGGCGTCGCTTGGCTTCCCTGTGCTCGTGTTGAAGTATCCATTGCTCGAGTTGGCGTGTGAGGGAAGGGACGCGAGGAGAAGGTTGAGGTTCGCCTCGTAGGTGCTGTTCAGAGTGAAAGTGGTGGAATTCGAGCAGTAATGCTCGCTGATAGTAACGATTGATTCGGTTTCGAGGGTGAGAAAGCTAAGCAGGAAAATGAGGATTGCAATAAGCTTTGTCATAGTTTTCTTTGAGGGACTTGGCTACAAGTGGCAGTTCTGTCCCTTTCATGTCAGCACCATGTAGTGCGCAATGTACCTTGATATATAGCGAAGAATGAGAAAGATAAAGCTTTAAGGAGGAAAAGAAAAGGAAAATGGATAGTCAACTCTGTATATTATAGGGTGTCCAGATTAGATAACTTCGACATTCTCTATTGGGTACGGCTTCGCGGATGATTCCTTGAAACACTAATATTAAAATTGGACGGTGGGATTATCTTTATTTTTATGCAAAGTGCATTGACAAAATCACCAAAATAAAAGTATAAGAAGTCACTTACTGTGAATACTCAGCGTCCGGGATAAATTCCGCCTTACACCGATAAGGAAAGGTGACTCGCTTGACGGGCAAGTCCAATGAATGTTTAAGGTACCGACTTTAGCATCGGCCGGCCATTCTGGACTACAAACTCGGTTGCGTAGCTATATATTCATGGGTGCAAATCAGACCATTCATCGGAGATCTGGCCGACTCCGCGGGACCAGATTCTGCATCAACACTAGTAAGCTTATGTGGGAGGACTCTACTGGCCAAGTAACAAGAAGTTGAGACCGTGTGAATGAGAACTTGAATCATGATTGCGGCTTCGGAGAGTAGTTAGCGCCGTGGTGCATGGATTTCTTTATGCGCATGCACGACTCGCGTGTCATTTGTTATATAAGGAAACTCGAAACGGATGTGTCCTTTGCAGAAAACAATGGATAGAATGCACATTGTATTATTTGTAATATCCTTATGCATATCCTTTACAGCACACCTCTTTTGACATGTCTCTCCTCCGGCACACTTACATATATTTAACTAAATGATGGGAAAGCAATTCCACACATGACAAGAGGACTAAATCAATGGTTCGACATGAATGAGCCCGTCAAGTCTTTGTGAAATAACCCTTGATCGAAATACTTAAGTAAGGTCGCCTCCTTATTAAATCCGAATTGTCGGAAGATCATGTAGCTTGCTTCGATCGTGAAATAATAAAGATTTTGGCTCGCGAAACATGCATTAACGAAATTGGTAGCCTTTGGCCCTCCATTAAGTTGACTCTTGGTATGGGGTCTTCGCAGCAACAACTATTATTTCACACCGTTCGCCGGTTGAAAAGGCTTGTAGGTCGGAGAAACGGGAAATATCAGTAGCGCCTTTCAACGAGATAGTGTTAGTTTACAATATGACAGTCATTTTCAATGTCTTTGTCCGCTCATGAAATATGTCGTTCTAGCAACTGAGAGTGGCGTTATTATGAAAGTCCGGTATCCTAGCCGACGTTTGAGAAAATACAAGCGAAGCTACAAAAATGTCGGGAGCATTAACAATTTTGTTCTTACTGCACCATGAGATAAGAGAACTTTCAAGAAGGAAACAAAATTTTTCGGTGAGATGTCGCTCTGATAATGTTAACTCGCCATATATGTGAAGCGTGATGTGCGCGAAGCACATAAAAGCAACTCTAAAATTTTCATTATCAATATATGATTAAATGTAAGCCGCTTTATAAAAGAGAATAACACGAATATAAATAGTCTAAAGTCCTAAAGAAACTCTGATAAGAGATGATTAGATAAATATTCAAAAAAATAAAGAAATCTCTAAGAGTATTATCTAAATTCTGATCGGATAACTAGTGAAAAGAGGGAAAAGTGCCAAAAAAGTCCTAAACCTTTTGCATTAGTGCCAATTTAGTCCTAAACCTTTTTTTGGTGCCAATTCAGTCCTAAACCTTTTGCATTGGTGCCAGTTTAGTCCTCAACCTTTTTTTGGTGCCAATTAAGTCCTAAACCTTTTAAATTGGTGTCAATTTAGTCCTAAACCTTTTGTTTTTGTGCCAATTTAGTTCTTCTGGTCAATTTTGACCGGAATTTGCCAACGTGGACGCCTGCCGGCCGGCGGCCGGTCACCGGCGCCGACGTGGACAACTTTAATAATATTTTTATTTTTTTTGAATTTTTATTTTTTTTCCTTTTTTTTCTTTTTTTTTCCACTTTTTTTTTGGGTCCCCCCTCCTTCCTCTGGCCGGTCGCCGGTCCAATGACCGGCCAGAGGCCAGAGGCTGGCGAGCTCGACCTCGCCGACCACTGGCGAGGGCGGCGGCCTCGCCCGGCGAGGGCTCGAGCCTCGCCATGGTCGGGCGAGGCCCGACCTTGCCGGATCGCGGCGAGGTCGTTGGGCGAGGCTCGACCTCGCCGGATCCGGCGAGGTCGTTGGGCGAGGCTCGACCTCGCCGGATCCGGCGAGGTCGGGCCTCACCCGACCATGGCGAGGTTCGCCCTCGCCGCGGCCTCCGGCGAGGGCTCGAGCCTCGCCATGGTCGGGCGAGGCTCGACCTCGCCGGATTTGGCGAGGTCGAGCCTCACCCGACCAAGGCGAGGCTAGCCCTCGCCGGGCGAGGCCGCCGCCGTCGCCAGTGGCCGGCGAGGTCAGGCTCGCCGGCCTCTGGCCTCTGGCCGGTCGCCGGACGGGCGATCGGCCAGAGGAAAGGGGGGGACAAAAAAAAAGTGGAAAAAAAAAGAAAAAAAAGGAAAAAAAAATAAAAATATTATTAAAGTTGTCCACATCGGCGCCGATGACCGGCAGGCATCCACGTAGGCAAATTCCGATCAAAATTGACCGGAAGGACTAAATTGACACAAAAACAAAAGGTTTAAGACTGAATTGGCACCAATTTAAAAGGTTTAGGACTTAATTTGCACCAAAAACAGGTTTAGGACTAAATTGGCACCAATGCAAAAGGTTTAGGACTGAATTGGCACCAAAAAAAGGTTTAGGACTAAATTGGCACTAATGCAAAAGGTTTAGGACTTTTTTGGCACTTTTCCCAGTGAAAAGAAAATACAATTACACAAGTTTCCAAGATAAGTATCCAAGTTCCGCAAATTACGCTAACCAAAGAAATAAAATCAAACGATCAAACCCTAAATCAATCCAATGACATATAAAAAAAACTCTTGAGATGCCCTCCATCATTTTCCTTTTATTTGAAAAAACTCGACCTCGAGTTCTAAAATGGCGGATAATGCAATAGTGTGTTCCAAATTACTAAAAAAAAATTAATAAACTTATTTTATTTGTGCTAATTCAGTCTTGAACCTTTCAAATACGAAAGTCCTGTCCTAAACCTTTTCACGATTTGTCAATTGAGTGCTAAAATTAACGTGTAAGTTAAACAGAGAAAAGTTGATAACTCCATCACATAAAACGAAGGTAATTTCGACTAAGAAAATGAGAGTTCATTGCATAGTACATACTGCTTGAAGACTTAATTAAGGAAAAGTGCTAATTTGATAAAAACAAGTTAGTAAATTGAAACGTTGATGAGGATAATATTTGGTAAATCAATAGAATAGTTGATAGATTAATTAGAAAAAAATCCAAAAAGAAGGTAGTTTCAACTAAGAAAATGAGAGTTCATTGCATTCTTTGTATGATATTGACCTCTTGGCTGATGAATCATTCATTGATCAGTGGATTCCGAGTGCTCCATGATCTTTTCCCTTTCTCTATCTAGGACTTACATCAGTAAGATAGCCGCTATTCACTAGACATTGCAGCATCATCCTGCTGCTATTAAGCTTCTCGGTGAATCGGTTCAAGTTTAGATCTTGAGATTGTTGTTTGTGATTCACACTCGGGATGAAGGATATAGGTTGCTCAGGAACGGGGAGGCTAACGGAATCAGCACTACTAAGCATAAGAACAACTGTATGCATAGCAGGTCGGGCTTCTTTGTCATTTTGAACCAAAGCAAGCCAATGTGAATGCATCTGATCACTTCGTTTGAAGAGTAAGATTTACTCATCGTTGGATCCACGATTTCCAATGGTGCTCCGATTCTCCAGTGTTCCCAAACCTTGAACATATGTTGGCCATGTCATTAATTTGCCAAAACTGAATGAAATTGCAGGATCAAACTGTACTCACATGGTCAAGAAGGCCTGCATAGTGATCTGATATATGAGAATATTGATTCTTCTTGCCATTTATGATCTCTAGCAGTAGCACACCAAAGCTGACCACGTCAGATTTTACCGAAAATTGTCCATACATTGCGTATTCAGGAGACATGTAGCCACTGCGAAGCAGTTCAAAGAGGAAGACATAGTCATGATTATTGTGAATGAGCGTAGATCACATAAAGATCAAGATGTTAAGGCACAATACACTCTATGCATTAGAAAATCCAATTAAAAGCCGACTCTGTTTCCATAATATTGCAAATTATCCAGTGGGTTGTTCCTATCATGAACAGATGTAATGTGAATTTGAACTTACTAAGTTCCAACAATTCTGTTTGTACTTTCTTGAGTATGCTCAGCACCAAAAATCCAAGCCATCCCAAAGTCCGTGATTTTCGGGCTCATATCATCATCAAGCAGAATGTTGCTAGCTTTGAGGTCGCGATGGATAATTCGGAGCCTAGAATCTTCAGAAGACCGCGCGCCACCCCAACCATGATCTTGTGGCGCGCTGACCAATCCAACTGTCTGCTTTGCTAAGGGTCTGTTTTGGCCAGAATTTGTAAATGTTTGAGTCAGAGAAGCCTATTTCATGACTGAATCTATTGACAAGTCGCATGTAATTTTCTTTTTTCGAAACCATCAACTTGTATGAAGAATGTCCAAGAGATAAGTACTAAACATTTGCTCAAACCTAGGACATATTTCTAGATGGTGACTAGGGTTGGAATGAGTTAACTAAACTGAGTGGAATGGAATCATGTTTAAAGAAGAAGAAGAGCAGCGAGTCCCCCAACTAAACGCGGGCTTAGATTCCGGCATCGGCAAGCGTATGCATGAGAACTTGAATCCTGATGGCAGCTTGGGAGAGTAGGTAGTGCCGCGGCGCATGGATTTCTTTTAATATGCAGGGACGACAAGCGTGTCATTTGTTATTTAAGTAATGTTGAATCGGATCTCTTCTTTAATGGAAACGTTGGTAGAATGCATTATTCTATTATCTGTAA